CTATTTGTTTATTCTTGCTCTTACTTCTGGGCAACTGGAATCCTATTCAGAAAATAACTGTCGACACCTATATCTTCCAGTGTTTTCTTTGTATTTCCTGTAGTAGTTTCAAAGTTTCAGGTCTTATATTAAGATTTTTGATCCAATTTTGAATTGACTTTTGTACAGGGTGAGCGATCACAATCTAGTTTCAGTTTTCTATGTAGATAACAAATTTTCCCAGCCTCTTACTGATTTTTTTTCCCCCAAGTACCAGGTTTTTTTTTTTTTAACTCAGGGCTTCATGGTTATTAGGCAGGTGCTCTGCCACTCAAGCCCCTTCACCAGCCCTTTTTTGTGATGGGTTTTTCAAGATAGGGTCTCATGAATTGGTTGGCTTCAAACCTCAATTCTCCTGATCTCAGCCTCCCCAGTAGCTAAGACTATAGGTGTGAGTCACCGCACTGGCTACCTTATAGATTTCTAAAATATATGATTTAGTGCTGGAGGTGTGATTCTAGTGGAGAGCACCTGTTTTGCAAGCGCAAAGCCCTGAGTTCAAACCCCAGTCTCACAAAAATTTACACACACACACACACACACACACGTATCTGTGGATATATTTTAGTGCAGTTGGTTTCAAAGCAAAACTAAGTGGAAAGTACAGCAATCCCATGTAATCCCACCTCCCCCACGCTATGCCCTCTGTCCTGCCAGTCTCTCCCTAGCAACGTCCCAAGTTGGGTACATTTCTTACAGTCAGCGCTCCTTCACAGATACATCATTAAGCAGTTTAGTTTAGCTAGCTCACCTGTTGAGCACTGAGCACTCCGTCTGTGGGCTTTCACAAATGTATGACCCGACTCTATCATTACACCACCATAGCAGCTTCACTACCCTACAGCTTTTCATCCCTTTCTCCTCCCTATTCCCACAGTTTTACCTTTTTATTTTGATTTATTTCCTAACATGCATTTAAGTTTCCTGATACCTTCTCATGGCTTGATAGCTCCTTTTTTTAAGTACTGAATAATATCCCATTGTCTGGACGTGCCATAGTATTCTACCCGCTCTAGCTACTGAAAGACAGCAGACAGTAGACAGTTGCTTCCAGGTTTGGGCAATTATGAATGAAACTGCCATAAACAGTTCTGTGTATGTAGCTTTCAATTTCTTTAGGAAAACACCAAGGTGCCCCACTGCTGGACTGAATGGGAAGAGCATGCGTAGGTTTTTGCTTTTGTTTTTGACTGGTGGTGGGTTGGGGCTGGTCTTGAATTCACTATGCAGCCCAAACAGGTAATTTCCCGCCTCAGCCTCCCCAGCACCAGGATTATAGGCATGCACCACAAGGCCCAGCAGTGTTTTGTATGAAACTGCCAAATGTCTTCCAAAGTGGCTGTCCTACTTTGCATTCCCACAAGCAATGATTAAGGGTTCTTGTGGTTCCACTTCTTCAGCACTGTTGTACGTCAGTGTTTCAGATTTTTGTCCTTCTACTAAACATGTATTGGTGCTTCATTGTTAAGCTGCATTTACTTAATGACACAGGACACTGTGGATCTTTTCAACTGTTTATTTGCCATCTGTGTATCTTCCTGGTAGTGTCTACTGGCTCATTTTAAAAATTTTTTGGTGGTACTGGGGTTTGAACTCAGGGCCTCACACTTTGCAGGCACCTGAGCCATGCTCAACCCTTTTTGCTTTATTTATTGGATAGGAGGGTCTCAACATTTTTGAGAGCCAGTCTCGGACTGCAATCCTGCTTCCTATGCTTCCCAGTGATCACCACAGACGTGATCACCATGGCCAGCCTGTTGGCTGACTGTGTAACTGGACTGTTTTCTTGTTGAGTTTGAAGAATACTTTGTATATTTTGGACAATCTGTAACTTGTTTTATGATACTCGACATTGATTTTATTTATTTTTGAGTTAATCCAATCTTGTTCTCCTATAATAAACTCCCATAGTCAAGATGTCTTATCCTTTTTTTTATATTGCTGAGCCCAATTTTGTAGTGCTCTGCTGAGGAGCTTAGTACCTATCCATCCTGAGGGATGTAGGTCTGTAATACTTTCTTGCAGACTCTGGCACCAAGGTTATGGGACCTCAAGCCACCTGGAATGTGCTCTGTCCTTCTCTACTTTCCCAAAGGAGTCACACAGAACTGGTATTGTAACTTCATGCTAAGCTAGATCTCACTAATGTTACCATGTGGACATGGCGTTTTCTTCACGGGAAGATTTGTGATAATGATTAAATTTCTTTAATACAGAACTATTCTGATTTTCAGTTTCTTGTGTTAGTTTTGGAAAAATGCCGTTTTCAAGAAACTTGCTCCTGCCATCTAAGCTGCTAAATTTGACATAAAGTTGTTCATGATGCTGCTTTATTAATTTTTAATGCCTCAGAATCTTTTTCACTGTGTTGCTTTCTAGGCATTTATCCGTTGTGGTAACTATCATCTCAAAGATCTGAATTTGCCATTGTCAGTTTTATTTTCCACACCACTGACTACTGCTCTTTAATTCTTCTTTCTACCTACTTTGATCTTTCTCTAACTTCTTAAGGTGGGATTTTAATCTTTTTTTTTTTTAAAGTTAGCATTTAAAACTGTTAATTTTCTTCTAAGCACTACTTTAGCTGCAACCCACAAATTTTATTTTTCAATTGGAAATATTTAAAAATTTCCCTTGAGATTTCTTCTTTGACTTACCATGGCGACTCCTGAACATCAGTGCATTTTCAGAGATTCTATTCTTTCAATTTGTAATTAAATTCTGCTGTGGTCAGAGACACTTACAGAAATTCTCTGCATGATTTCAACTTTTCAAAATTTATTGACATTTGTTAATGGGCCAATGTATGGCCTTTCTGGATAAACATGCAATGAACATATGTAAAGTGTGCATTCTACACTGTTGGGTTCAGTGTTCTAAAAGTATCAACTTGGCCAAGATGACTGAGACTACTAATCAGATCTCCCGTTACACTAGTACTGATTTTTTTTTTTTTTGTCTTCTTCTTGTCATGTCAATTACTACAAAAGAGGTGTTAAAATCTACAGTTGTGAAGTTGTGACTGTGGTTTTGTGCATTTCTTCTTTCCTTAGTGGGTCAATTGCTGCTTTCACAAATTTTGAAGCTCTGTTATCAGGTACATAGTGGTGCATACATATTAGGACAGTTACGCCTTTTTGATGAACTGGTTTTATTATCTTTATGAAGTATCCTCCTCTGACATTACTACTTGTCATGACATCTATTGATTCCCCACCTCAGTCTCAGAGTAGCTGGGACTACTGTCGCATACCACCGGGTCTGTGACAGCTCTAATTTAAAAAATAACAATAAATTTGTATAGCCAAGAAAAAAATGATATAAATATGTAAATCCAGATCTCCTTTCCTCCAGAAAACATTCCAATTTATCCAGCCATTTAAAAAAACTTATCAGTACAATTACTAATCCTTTTAACTTTTTAAATTTTTTTTGGTGGTACTGGGGTTTGAGTTTGGGACCTTGTACTTGCTAGGCACATACCCTACCACATCTCCAGCACCAATTATTAATCTTAAAACATTGAAAACCTTGTTATGAGCTGGGTGCTGGTGGCTTACGCCTGCAATCTTAGCTACTTGGGAGGCTAAGATTGGGAGGATCATGGTTCAAGGTCAGCTCTCCAAAATAACCAGAGCAAAATGGGCTAGGGTTTTGGCTTAAGTGATAGAACAGCTGTTTTACAAGTGTAAAGCCCTGGGTTCAAACCCCCAACAACCAATAAAACAAAACAAAAAAAGCCCTGCTGTGATTTGTCGGACATAAATTGTAACCTTACTCCACCCACTGAGAATCAGCTTAAACTTGAGGCTTTGGTTGCACATTCCCTCTTCGTTATAACTGAAGGGGTGTACAGAATCATATCTATAAAGAAAATAGATTTTATACCTTACAAAAACCATTTTTTTGAGACAAGGTCTTCTTTTACAGCCCAGGGAGGCAATGAACTTGTAACCTTCCTATCTCCCAAGTATCTGGGACTATAGGTGTATGCCATTGTGCCCAGGTTAACCTTAGAAAATTTTGAGCAAGTTACCTAATAAAGAATTTAGTTTTACTCAATCATTAATGCACTAAGAACAGTGATGTTTGTGAACCAGCTAGACAATGCTGGCTAAGAAAGGAAAACAGGAGTCTTTGCTCCCATTTCCTGTATGGGAAATAGGAAATGCTTCTTTCTCTTTCTCCCAACTATTCCTCTCCTAATAGTTTACTGTTACTAACAAAAAAAACAAAACAAAAAAAACGGAAAACAAATGATGGTCAGGTGCCAGCGGCCTAGCTACTCAGGAGGATCACGGCTCGAAGCCAGCCCAAGCTAATGGTCCTTGAGACCCTATCTCAAAAATACCCAACACGAAACAGGGTTAGTGGAGTGGTTCAAGTGGTAAGAGCATCTATCTAGCAAATGTGAGGCTGACTTCAAACCAGTGCTGCCAAAAAACAAACGATGTAGAAGACAGAATTAAAAGTTTAATTTAACAACACAGAGCTAGCTGGATACAAGTGGCTTGTAATCATAGCTACTTGGGAGGCTGAGATCAGGAGGATCACAGTTGGAGGCAAGCCTGGGCAAACAGTTTTCGAGATCTCATCTCCAAAATTACCAAAGCAAATGGAATGGGGGTGTGGCTCAAGCAGCAGAGCGCCTGGCAAAGCCCTGAGTTCAAACTGCAGTCCCACCCCCCTAAAAAAACATACTTAACTATACTTACTGCAATGTATTTTAAACTTCACAGCAGTTTGCTTTTTCAAGCAGTCTGCTTCAGTTTATATTATAGATGTTACTTCAAACCAGTATGGTTTTTTCTAATTACTCAAAAAAATGTTTCATATAGGAACAGAGTAACAACTATAATAAATTACTATAGAACTATAATAAAACTTTCTAAGTCTTTAATAGGCACTATCTTGGCTAAAAATTATAAGTCACAAAGAGAAATAAGCTTGTCTTTACTTACCTGTCACTTTGGTTCCAATAACCAGGGGCAGAGGAATCTCATCTGGGAGATCTTTGAACTGTGAAACATCTGCAACTTTCCTTTGTTGTAAGAGCCTTATTTTCTGCCGTTTCTGTTTTAATGCTGATCTCTCTTCCTCAAAAAATGCAGAAGAACATCTAGAATAAATTACAAAAATCACATAAACTGATAACTATTCTATACAGAAACTTAAACTCTGACCATCTACCTCACTGATCCCTTATTTCTTTTTGTTCTTTTCAGTATTATATTAAAAATGGGATCATCTCTAAATATTCTTCCATCTTTTGTAAAAAGACAGGACCTTGCAAGACAAAGATAAATAAGCAGGTCTAGGTTACTCCTTACTACAAAGTAGAAATCTGTTCACTTTCCTTTGATTAAACTGTGTCTGGAGTCCAGATCTCCTCTTAGGTTCAAAGCTACTTAGGAGAATATGTTGTTTTCTCTGTGATCCAGTACACACACAAATATCAGCATAAAGGTAAGAGTTGCCACTGTGAAAACTTTCAATCATACTTCCTGCCTTGAAGTATGAATTTGCTCTTTTCTCTAGGGCCTGTCTTGTTTCCATTTTCAAATTCTAGGATCAATCAAGGTATTTAAACATAACTTTTATTTCATGTATGGCTACCACCTGTATAATGAGCTTATTTTCATTAAATAGTCTCAAAAATTGAATAAAAACAATGAGCAAAATAAGGAAATGGAGATCAGCATACTTTTCAAAGTGGATCACTATGAACAATAGCAAATAAGAACTAGAGAAATACACAGAAAACCCAGTCGACAATGCCTTCTTACACACTACCATTTCTGAAGTTCTTGACTATTTATTCATAGCACGTACACGGGAAGAATGTGAGACCAAGCAAAGGATGCTGGGTCATGAGTAAGTTAAGTAGCATAAAAAGACTTTCTTCTGCTCTGTACGACACCATTTAGACATCTTCCTGGGACTCACTATCCCTCTAAAGAATTGTTTTCTTCTTTGTATGTAATTCCCCTGTCCTCTCTTGTATCCACTTTTCCAATAAAATTTTTATTTAATTACTAATGCTTTATTGAGTTAGATTAACATAGTAAATCAAAATGTTTAAAACGTACATGTAGATACATTTTGACATTTTATATGTAATGTATTAAAACTCATCAGTCACGATAACGAACACACCCTCAAGTCTCCTTGTGCCTATCATCCCTCCTTTGCATTGCTCCATTCTCATATCCTCACTTTTGAGCAATCACTAATGCTTCCTATCAATATGCGTTAGTTTTTTTCTATCTTCTAAAATTTTAAATAAATGTAATCATCTAATGTATATTCTGTTGTGAGGCTTTTTCACTCAGTGTAGTATTCTGAGTTTTACCCATGCTGTTATAGGCATCAATGGTTTGTTTATTTATTTATGTGCATACTGGTGCTTGAACTCAGGGCCTTCACCTTGAGCTACTCCACCAGTCCTAATTTTGTGATGTTTTTTTGAGATAGGGTCTCGCAAACTATTTGCCAGGGCTGGCTGTGAACCGCAATCCTCCTGATCTCTACCTCCTGAGTAGATAGGATTACAGAAGTGAGCCACTGGTGTCTGGCTGGTTTATTCTCTATCGGTAAACACAATTTGTTTAGTCTTTCATCTCTTGGAAAATTAGGCTGCATCCAGTTTGGGCTATTACAAAGTTTCTATGAACATTAGTGTATCAGGTTTTTTTTTTTTTTTTAACAAACATTTCTTTTATTCCACTCCACCTAGGAGTGTCAAATTGTTTTCCAAAATGGCAATACCATTCTACAATCCCACCATCAGTGTGGGATTCAATTGTCCCACATCCTCACCAACATCTGGTATGCTCAGTCTTGTTAGCTTTGGACACTGTGATTTAATTTGCATTTCCTTAAGGACTAATGATGTTTCATGTCTTTCTGTGAGCTTATCTGATATTCTTGTACCTACTGTGAAGCGTCTATTAAAATCCTTTGCCTTTCTATTAACTGGTCTATTTTGACTCCTCTTGCTGAATTTTAAAGAGTTCTTCCTGCATTCTCCACCAGTCAAATTTTACTTAGGTTTTTTTGAGTAGTTAGTACATTCATATGGCTTCTGATTTAAAAAGTTAAAAGAACCCAAAACCTCTGATACCTGTATTCCCTCATTCATCTACTTGACTCCCAGATGATTATTAGTGCGTACTTCATGCATGGGCAAACACAAACAAAAATGCTTGTTTCCATCCTATTTTCTCAAATGCTACAGTATGCACAATTACCTACTTTGTTTTCTTGTTATCTTACCAATCATTTATATTATCAATACATGAAGAGTTGCTTTTTTTTTTTTCTCTTTCCTTTTTGTGCCAAGGATTGAACCTAGGGCCCTGCACAGGTTCTTGTTTTATGGTAGGTAGCTCTGGAGCCTTTTATTCTACATATCATTCTTTAATTATTCCTGTATTTATGAACATTTAGGCTGTTGCCAATCTTCTGCTACTACAAATAACACTGCAGCCTCTACACAGGCCCTTTTCCCTTTGTGCAAGTGCTTTTGTGACATAAACTGTTACATGTGCTAGTTCAAAGAGTACTGGGCTGGTGGAGGGGCTCAAGTGGAAGAGCGCCTGCCTAGCAAGCACCCGGCCTTGAGTTTAATCTTCAGCAACCCCCCAACAATGCACATACAAAAAAGGAGTATAGATTCATAAATCTGTTATTACCAAATTGTCTCCACAGAGACAGTGTAAAATTTCTCTCTCACCCACAATATGTAAAAGAGTGACAATTTCATCAAATCATTGCCATTAAAGCTTTGTGAACATGGTCAACCTCAGAGTTAAAAAACCAGTCACTGGGTAAAACTGAACTCCTCATGTTTAGTAGAACAATTTTGTCTACATTACCACCTCTAATATGCCAGATCCAGTCTGATCTCTGAAGTTAGAAGAGCAATCTCTTTCCTTCCTCTGAAGGAAATGGGTTTCACTGTGGGTTATTTGATGTTTTCCTTTTGTGTGTACGGTACTGAGATTTGAACTCAGGGCCTCTACTACTTGAGACACACTCCCAATCCTTGGCTTATCTTATACTGATTTATACAGTTCTTTACATATTAGGGAGTTAACCCTCTGAAAATACTTTCATTATCTGTCATTGTCTTTTAACTTTTTTTTTGTCTTTTGATCATGCAAAATTTTCTTTTTGTTTTTTTGGAGTCAAATTTATTGATAACCTGCCTCTGCCTCCCAAGTGCTGAGACCACAGGCATGTGCCACTACTCCCAGCTTGATTCATATTTTCTTTTATGGCTTGTAGCTTTGGAGCCTACTAGAAAGCATTCAATTCAGTTATACAAAACTTATATTTTTCTTCAGTAGTTTCTTTTTTTTTTTTTTTGGCAGTACTGGAGTTTGAACTCAGGGCCTCACACCTACTGGGCAGGCACTCCACCGTTTGATACACTCTGCCAGCCCTTTTTGGGGTTGGTTACTTTTGAGATAGGCTCTCGTGAACTATTTGCCCGCTGACCTGGAAGCACGGTCCTCCTGATTCGCTGCCTCCTGAGTAGCTAGGATTAAGGTGTGAGCCACCAGCACCCAGCTCTAGTCGGATTTTTATTTTTTTTTCTAATGTAAGATATGAGACCTACTTGGTTTTTGTCTCTAGATTGTTACATGGTGGTTTCAATCTCCATTAAACATCATGTAACAATCTAGAGACAAAAACCAGTTGGTCTCATATCTTACATTAGAAAAAAAAAAAAAGAAATAATAATTTGACTAGAGCTGGGCGCTGGTGGCTTACACCTTAATCCATCAGGCAACGCAACGATACACCAAATCTCAGAGACACTTGTGATTGTGTCTGGTCTTTTTCATTCCTCTGTCCATTCACTGCACCACTACCATACGGTCCTAATTACGGTCACTTGTACTTTCAATCCTTCTCCTAATGATTATTTCAATACTTCAGCTAACACTGATATTAGCTCTCTTCACTACTTTGCTTTTTCAGAGTTTCCCTGCTTGATTTCCCCCATCTCAAAAGTGAATTTTAAGCTGGGCAGTGGTGGCTCACGGCTATAATCCTAGCTACTCAGGAGACAGAGATCAGGAGGATTGCAGTTCTAAGCCAGCCTGGACAAATAGTTCTTGAGACCCTATCTTGAAAAAGCCCACCACAAAAAAAGGGCTGGTAGAGTGACTCAAGGTGTGGGCCCCAAGTTCAAGCTCTAGTACAGCACAGAAAAAAAAAAAAAAGAACTTTAGACTTAACTCATTTAGTTAAAAAACAGAGCAGGGCATGCAGGCTAGCTGTGGAGGCCCTGCATTTGATCTGTAGCAGCAGGACATGGGACTGATTTTAATTTACAGATTAGTGAGGGTGCTGAATGTTCTTCCCAAGATCCTGTATGCCATCCCATGTCTTCATATGGATCTTGGATATTTACTGTTAAGTTCCTTCTGGTAGTTTAACTATTTTTTTTGGCTTCTTCCTTTTTTATCTTGAAACTGGATATGGTATCATCAATTGATTTTTAAAATTAAGGTATTTTTGAAGTTTATTTTATTAGTAATTTGCACTATGCCTTGACTTCTTTATTTTCTTAATACAACTAACTCTTTCTTTTCTTCCTTCTCTCTCTTCCTCCCTCCCTCCCTCTTTTTGGCAGTACTATAGTTTGAACTCAGGGCCTCTTGCTTGCTGAATAGGCGCTCTACCACTTGAGCTGTCCCTAGCCCTATACCTCGACTTCTTCAGAGAAAGAAAAACTTTGTTTTTTTTTTTTTCAAACTTTTATTGAACTTCAAGTGTCCTCAGGAGGCAGAGACAGAAAGACTGGATTCAAGGCCAGCCTGGGCAAAAAGTTAGTCAGACCCTATCTCAAAAACAAGCCAGGAGGGCTGGCAAAGTGGTTCAAATAGTAGAGTGCCTGCCTCGCAAGGATGAGGCAGGGTTCAAACCCTATTACCAAAAAAAGAAAAAAAAAAAAAAAAAAAAAAAAGTCAGGTATAATGGTTCATGCATGTAATCCCAGCTACTTGGGAGAGAGAGGTGGAGAGGTAGGAAGATCAACTTCCGAGGCCAGCCCTAGACAAAAGCTTAAGACACTATCTGAAAAACAAACTAAAAGCAAAATGACAAAGGGGTGTGGCTCAAGTGGTAGAGTACTTGTTTAGCAAATGTGAGGCCCTCAGTTTAACCCCTAGTACTGCCCCCTAAATAAGAAGACTTCAAATATCTTTGATTAATCAAAGTTAACTGACTATGGAGATTAAGTTACATTATGGTAAGAGAACAAAAGATGGGCTGGCTAAGTGGCTCAAGAGGTAGAGCGCTTGCCTGGCAAGAATGAGGCCTTGAGTTCAAACTCCAGTACCACCAAAGAAAAGAAGTATGACATACGTGAGTAATAAACAAAATGTTAATTTGTTTATATAAATGGAGAAATATAAAACATGTCATCAAGACCATCTTTCAATAGAGGATAGAATAAAACCTTAGCAGTTCAATTAAAAGTTCTCCTGGCATTTCATTTTATCACCCTCTACAGATTATTAAAACAACTTCTGCTCCTACTTGTTCAAGTCGCTTTATGTTTCCAGCCCTTCTGGAACTTTCCCACCATTTAAAATGAAAATGTCTTGCATATGCTTTTACTAAACAGACAGACAGACGTCGTGTGAGAAATGATGATCTAATTCTTCTTCAACAGTATTTCAAATTCTAATTCAAAAGTAGTAAGCCATTTCCCAGATAACACTGGAAAGGAAAGAGTCATTCACATGAAAAGTAATTCTCAAAAAGTAACACAGAATAGACCAACTTACTTTCTATTTTCCTATAAAGAAAGACAGACACTTGAGGAAAGGCTCTTGGGTGATCAAGGGTTTCACAAAAGACAATAATGACATACAAACAGCCTTATAGCTTCCTTTGATACTTGTTAGGACATTCTTTTTTTTTTTTAAACAGAGAGGGACACAGGTAATTTAAAACTGCAAAATTATGTTTAAAATCTGTGGTCTACACAAAAATGAAATTGTATATTTAAATATAATAAGTATAAAAAGACAGTAATAAGGAAGGAAAAAAAACAAATAAGAATTTTTTTAAAAAGTATAAAATCACCTATATTAAAGTTGGTTAACAGGGTCTATTTATCATATAATCAAGTATTCTGAAAAAGTAATGCTTTGGTATTAGTCCTTTTGAAGTTAAAAAAAAAATCAAAGAAGCAATAATACTACCATTTACCAATTTTAAAAAACATTGTTTTTACCTCCGTGGTTTTCCCATTAGCCGCCTAATTTTTCCCCATTCTACTCTTGTCAACTTTCTTGTTTTCAAATTAGGAAAAGACTCCTTTAGACATACACAGAAGTCATTATCACCTTCGAAAAGTGGTCTGTAAAACAGAAATGGAATTTTGTTGTTAATATAGACTGTGTTACTTTCTTAAGACATAAAATCCAAAATATGTATTACAATTTCCATTATCACAGTAATAATCACAAACACCAAGCTGTTTCTTCTACCCCATATACAGGCAAAGAGGCACAAAGTCAAAGTGCTAAAGCTGAATCCTTAGCATAAGTGAAATACCTAATGTATAGAATTCCCAGAGTCACTGATTTTTGCTCAAACTCCTACCTGAGTCTGTCCTCCAGGAGGCCATCCTAGCCCTGATGAAAACAAATACTATTAGCTACAAGCTGTCTTTGTCCCAAGAGTAAGGCCATCACCAAGGAGTCCACTTTGGGACTGAGCCAGTCTTAACAGCATGGGAGGACTCCAGGGGTTGAGATCAGGTTTTGGGAATCCCAGAACTCGGATCACACTAGGATACCATGAAAGCTCTTTCAAGCCTATGGAAACTGTGGAGAAAAATAAGAGTCTATGCCTGAGTCTACAAAATCAGGAGCCCAGTGCTTACAGTGACACATAAATGCCTTGGGCTCAAATATGGATGCCCAGGGGATCATAAGCTTCAGAGTTGACAATTAGTTTGGAAAACAGAAGGGGGTCACAGATAAATAGCAGTCAACTTTGCTGGCTCTAAGAAATCAGGATTTTCCTCAATAATTCTACTGGCTAAGACTGGATTTCAGTCAAGTCTCTGTTCTACCTCCACATTTCTGTGTATTAAAACATTTAAAGTACCATCCTCCCAAATATAAAGATGACTTGCCTAAAATTTCTGAGTCATTTTTACCCTTAGTAACAGTTTCCTTTTCATTACACTAGCACTTAAAATCTCAAGATTTATAAAACAAATCCCATTCATCACAAATAATGGTGTCTTTAAGGGTATCTCTACTTTATAGCCCTTGTTAATTAAAATGCAGAAATTATACTTCATAAAAATGTATAACTTCTTCCCCAAGGGGTTGGAGGTAGAAAACTATGAAAAAGCAAAATGAATTTAACTATAATGAAGAACAGAAAAATGGATTTCACACTGGCCACAGCGGTACACACTTGCAGTCCTAGCTGACTGGTCTCCCATTGAGATGCTGACCCAAGTGAGGCCAGAAGAGGGCTGGTGGAGCGGTTCAAGTGGTAGAGCACCTGCCTAGCAAGTGAGAGGCCCTGAGTTCAAGCCCCAGTACTTACTGCCTCCCTGCCCCCCACCACCCCCCAAAAAAAGGAGGCCAGAAGTTGAAGACCAGCTTGGCAACATAGCAAGAACCCATCTCAAAAAAAAAAACAAACAAAAACCAAAAAAACAAAAACAAAAAAACCCAAGAAAAAATAAGATGAAAATAGACCTACAGAGAAAGAGTTAAGGTTATGGTTCAAGGAGTATAGCAAGCTCAAGGACCTGAGTTCAGTCGCCAGAACTGCCAAAAAATTTTTAAAAGCCTATAGAAAATGGTAGCTTACAACATTTGACAAACTCAAATTTTCAATGGAAGTGCTATTCCATGTGAGCCACAGTACGTACTTGTCTATGTTGGAATAGAACCACTCATATATGCACCATTTATGTGCTTTGGGAAGCTTCAACAGGTTCCGTAATCGAAAACCAATCTTCTGTGAAGCTTTCTTATCTGGTGTTGACATTGTTGCTGTAAATTTCTGCAAGATTAAAAAAAATAGATTAATTATACAGCTTCATTAGGTAAAAATGAACATTAATGACCTTGAATACATTTGTAAACATGTAAGCTATATGTAAGTACTCAAAAAAGATTCAATAATATTCAACATGGAATTTTTTCTTAACACTCTTAGGCTCTGTGGGTCAGAAAAGACAAGCGAGACTCTGCTTGGCAAGGGTGGAGCTCTGTGGTACAGTGTCTGCCTGAGTTCAATGCCCAGCAATAGTGTGGGGGATGTCAGGAAAAGAACTCTGCTGAGGAGACTGAGAAAGAGAATGTGTGTACAAGTGAATAGACCCAGAAGTAAATTCTATGCCAAACCAAGAACTCTAATGTTATCCAAATGTTTTAGATCATTGGAGGAAAAAAAGCTTCCTGAGCAACATGGCCCACTCCTGTAATACCATCTACTTGGGAGGTAGAGATCAGGAGGATCACAGTTCGAGGCCAGCCTGGGCAAAAAGTTGAGAACCTATCTCAACCAATAAGCCAGGTATGGTGATGGGTGCCTGTGATTCCAGTTATATGGGAGGTCATAGGTAGGAGGATCATAATCTGAGGCTGGCCCCAGAGATAAATGCAAGATCCTACTCGAAAAATAATTAAAAATAAAAAAGGACTTCTGAGAACGTGGCTGAAGTAGTAAAGCACCTGCCTTACAAGTGCAAGACCCTGAGTTCAAACCCCAGTACATAACAAAACCTACTAAACCAGAGTAAAAGAAAATTTCAAATGCTGGTGTGGTAGCACACAACTGTAAACACAGCTACTTGGGAGAAAACAGGAGGACTGTGAGTTCCAGGCCAGCCCAGACAAAGTTAGTGAGACCCTATCTCAAAAACAAAAGGGCTGAGGGAATAGTTCAAGTGCTAACACCTGCCTAGCAAATGTGATACCCTGAGTTCAAACCCAAGCACCATCCAAAAAAAAAAAGAATCAACACTAGAACTACAACATCTGAAGAATACAACACAATATGGTGGCATTCCTAGCTAAAATGTAAGGATAGTCCAGCAGTAGGAAACTTAATATAATTTGCCACTATTAATAAATCAAAGCAAAAAAGTTACACGATTACTTCCACTAATGCTAAAGACATGTGAACAATGTTTATTAAAAAAACTCAAGGCTGAGCAGGCGGAGTGGCTCAAGCAGTAAGAGCGCCTGCCTAGCAAGAGTGAGGCCCTGAGTTCAAACCCCAGTACTGCAAAACACAAAAACCAAAACCAAAACCTCAATGCTGGGGGCCTAGTTCAAGTGATAGAGCACTTGGCTGGTATTCGCAAGGTCCTGGGTAAAAAATCCCCAGTACGGAAAACAAAACAAAACAAAAAAAACCCTCTTACTAAAAACAGATGAGATGACTGAAACAAATAAACAAAAAAATCAAAGAAACGGTAAGAGCTAATGTAGTGCTTACAGGAAATTTTAACTTACAGACTTTTCTTTCTTCTTTTTCTTTTTTTGCCTTTGTGATACTGGGGATTGAACTCAGGACCTTTTGCTTGCTAGGTGGTTGCTCTACCACTTAAGCCACGCCACTGGCCCTATACTTTCATTTTAGTCTAATCTACATTACAATAGAAGAAAGATGTTAACTAAGTAACTACTTAGTCCCTTTTCTCTTGCCAGTACAATACCAGAGAGTGTGTGTTATAAAGAAAATAAGTTTATTTGGGCTCACAGCTCTGGAGGTCAAGGGGCACACTGGGTGATGGCATACTTGTGAGAGAGTCCTGAGACAACACAGGGTATGAGGTGGCCACAAACAGGGAGCACTTGAGTGTGTGTCTGAGCATCAGCTCAGTCTTTCTCCCTCTTCTTATAAAGCCACCAGGATTCAATTATGGGACTGTACCCCAATGATTCTATCTAAACCTAACCCATCCCAGAGACTCCACATCTAACGCAACAGCCAGATTAAGCTGCCACTCTCAAGGTATCTTCACTAGGGCTTAACTTTTAACATATGAACCCTTTGGGGGACACTCAAACCAATCCAAACCCTAGAACTACCCTCCCACCTTAAGAAACTAGAAAAACGAAAGGAAACTCAAAGCAAGCTGAAGGATGGAAGTTAAGATTTCAGCAGAAATAAGTAAAATGGTGGCAGCCAGAGTGACTCAAATGATAGCGCGCCTCCTTAGCAAGCATAAGAACCTGAGTTCAAACCCAGAATCAACAAAAAAAAAAAAAAAAGAAAGAAGCCGGTACTGGCTGCTCACACCTGTAATCCTAGCTACTCAGGAGGCAGAGATCAAGAGGATCATGATTTGAAGCCAGCCTGGGCAAACAGTTCATAAGACCCTATCTTGAAAGAACCCTTCACAAAAAAGGACTGATGGAGTGACTCAAGGTGTAGGCCCTGAGTTCAAACCCCAGTACCACAAAAGAAAAGAAATTACTGGATGATTAAAGTAAATCCCACATGGTAATGGTATTTTGAGAGGTGGGCCTTGAAGAGGTGATAGGGCCATCCCTCATGAATGAATGAATGGGTTATCAAGGCCAGTTCCCTTAGGCACCTTTGCCCTTTTTCTGGATACAGGACGTCTGCCATGCCCTGACCCAGCTGAAGGCCCTCTCCAGATGGTGGGCAGATGCTGGCATCAAGCTCATGCTCTCAGACCTCCAACCATGAGCCACAACACACCTCTTTTCTTTGTGAACCAATTGTTAGCAATCTGCTGTAGCAAACTGATAAAATCCAACCCAGAAACTCTTCCTGGGCTGGGGATGTAGCGCCGTGGTACTGCACTTGCTGAGCATGGAAGACACCCTGGGTTGGATCACTAGAACCACAAAACAAAAATAAAGCAAAACAAAAAACTAGTACTACGCTCAACACTAAAACACTAAGTTACAAAAGCAAAGAAAGTTTATTTAACCCTTAAAAAAAAAAAAAAATCCTGCCTGTGGAAAAATATAGAAACAAAGGAGCCAGGCACCAGTGGCTCATGCCTGTAACCCTAGCTACTTGGGAGGCTTAGATCAGGAGGATCTGGGTTCAAGGCCAACCTAAACAAATAGTTCGAGAGGTGCTAGCTCCAAAATAACCAGAGCAAGCTGGGCGTTAGTGGCTCACGCCTGTAATTCTAGCTACTCAGGATGCAGAGATCAGGAAGATCTCAGTTTAAAGCCAACTCAGGCAAATAGTTCACAAGACCCTATCTCAAAAAAATCCTTTACAGAAAAGGGCTGGTGGAGTGGCTCAAGGTGTAGGCCTTGAGTTCAAACTCCAGTACCACACACACAAAAAAACAAAAAACCCAGAACAAAATGGGCTAGAGGTGTGGCTCAAGTGACAGAGCACCTGCTTTGCAAGCTCAAAGCCCTGAGTTCAAACCCTAGTCGCCGACCCTGCCCCGCCCCCCAAAAGAAATGAAACACTGAATTCTGGTTGCCTATTAATCAATCAACAAAATCAGATGTTGAAAAAAATATTTTTTAGTGAAAACCAAAAACAGAATGATGCATACATGGTACAATATCACAAAATGACACTAATGTGTAATTTTTAAAATATATACCTTTAGGGTCAGGTGCAGTGATGCACACCTATAATCCTAGCTACTTAGGAGGCAGAGATCAGAGGATACTGGTTTGAGACCAGCTTGGGCAAAAAAGTTCACAAGACCCCATCTCAACCATTAAGAAGCTGGACATGGGGCTGGCAGAGTGGTTCAAGTGGCAAGAGTGCCTGCTTAGCAAGCATAAATTCCTGAGTTCAAGCCCCAGTGATGCCAAGAAGCCAGACATGGTGGCATGTACCCAGCTACACGAGAAGCATAAATAGGAGAATCACAATCTATGCCTGTCGGAGCATAAATGCAAGACCCTATCTCAAAAATAACCAAAGAGAAAAATAACCAAAGAGATGTGGCTAAAGTGGCAGAGCGTCTGACTGGCAAGGGCAAGGTCCTAAGTTCAAACCCTGGTACTAGGGCTGGAGGAATGGCTCAAGTGGTAAAGTGCCTGCCTAAAAGTGTGAGGCCCTGAGTTCAAACCCCAGTACTATCCACAAAGGCCCCAAAGAAACAAAACAGTACTAACCAAAAAGAAAACAGAACCCATATATATGTATTTTTTTAAAAAGGAAAAAACCTATGTATGTTAAATACTATTATGTGTTTCCTGTGAATACATGTACAAAGTTTTAAAACTATTTAAAGGGTCTCAAGAGAATAGTCAAATTAATTACAGTAGCTACCACTGGCTGAAGAAAGTAGAAGATGAGAGAATAGTGAATTCAAGTCAAAATAGAGTTGCATTTCTTATTATAAACTTTTTATTTTGGAAAACCTGTATACTTACAGAAAATTATAAAGATAGAACACAGTTCCCATATGCCCTTCACCCAACCTTCCCTAAGGCTAGTATCTTACATTAACCAAGATGTATTTGTCAAAACTGGTACAACACTATTAAGCTAAAGTCTTCATTGAATTTCACCAGTTTTTTTCACTAATTTCCTTTTTCTGTGCCAGAATTTATTCAGGATAATATATATGTATTATATTATCCTGAATAAATATATATATATATTTTGGCAGTACTGGGGTTTAAACTCAGGGCCTCATACTTACTAGGCAGGCACTCTACCACTTGAGCCACTCTGTCAGCCCTATTTTACATTAGGTATTTTCAAGATAGGGTCTCACAATCTATTTACCCAAGGTGGCTTCAAACTATGATCATCCTGATCTCTGTCTTCTAAGTAGCTAGGATAACAGGCATAAGCAACCAGATCTGGTTACAAAGTTAAGATTTTAATATAAATTTAGCATAGGTAACAATCAAGTTATCATAAAATATTCTTATCACAAAAAATACTATGTTTCTCTCTATGAAGTTAGTGACACATATTTTAAGTACAATATTGGCAGCTCATTGGACCGTGTAATTACACACATAGACACACAAACTCTATAAGGAGTTGGAGCTGGGTGTGAGGAAATATATTCAAACTGACAGTGGGAATACAAGTTACATAATATGTAAATTATAAATCTTTCAGACTATTTGATAGCATCTTCTAAATTTTAAATCTAAGTACCCTTGCTGTAGTGATTACACTTCTAAAGGTTTACTCAAAGAATGAAAAATGGGGAGCGCTACTAGTATCAAGGTCTCTTTTGGGGGGTAATAAAAATGTTCTAAAATTCTGGTGATGAATGAACAAGCACCAACCATTAAAGTGGAGACTTTAAATAGATGACTTATATGATATGTGAATTATACTTCAATAAGGCTATAAAAAATAAAACACAAGATGCTGGAGACAAGCTGCCTACCATTTTAGTATCAGCCTTCACTTCCTAGTTATGTCACCTTGAACAAGACATTTAACTTCTCCATTATCTGTTTATTTCATCTACAAACCAGGAAGTAATATCATAGTAATATGATATACCAGGGCAGTTATTGACAATTAAATCAAATATATGAAATGCTTAGAACAAGACCTGGCTCAAAGTAAGTACTCAATACAGTTTGGTTGGTTTGGTTTTTTTTTTTGTTTTTTTTTTTTATAATTTTTCAGTTGTGAATGGTATTCTTTTTTTTTTGCTTGTACTGGAGTTTGAACTCAAGGCCTCATGCTTGCTAGGCAGGTGCTCTACCACTTGAGCCACTCTGCCAGCCTTTTTTTGTGATAGGTTTTTTTGAGATAGGATCTCATGAACTGTTTGCCCAGGCTGACTTCAAACCACGAGCCTCCTGATCTTTGCCTCTTGAGTAACTAGGATTACAGGTATGAGCCACAGGCACCAGGCCAGATGGTATTCTTTAAATAAACATACAAACAATCTGAGAACGTAGCTCAGTTGGTAGGACACTTGCCTAGCATATGCAGGGCCCTGGATTCAGTTCCTAGCATCACCAAAACAAAAACCACCACTAACACCACCACCTCAACAACAACAAAAAACCCACACAGACAAAGTGCAATAGGATATGACCACAAGGGTAAGAGAAGAAGCCTCATTACGACAAATGAACGATGAAAGGAGATTAAGACTAGTAAAGAAAAAACTCAGGAAAACTTCACCTATCTGAAGAAGTCTCATTATTTTATTTGCTTATGTTATATTTGTTCCATATTGCCCAGAAGCAGAAAGGACTCGGCAAAAGAGTGATGTCCCTGGGAAGGAGGGCAGTGGATAAAGTTGGGACAGGACAATTTCACAGTCATAAAGACCAAAGTTCTCTGTATATTTCTGAGTCATCCAGACTATTTTAGTACATGGCTTTTCCAAAGTCTAACAATGACCCATATTGATTGACTTTGTATCTTATACCTATCATACCAGATGAGATCAAAATTTTTAAACTGCATGCCAGGTATTTATGTACATATATCCTTGACATTTAAAAAAAAAGTTCACGAAGCATTTTGTTCATTCTACAGAACGCAAACACATTTTCTTGTTTAAAATTACCATAAAGGCCAATGCCAGTGGCTCACGCCTGTAATCCTAGCTATTCAGGAGGCAGAGATCAGGAGGATCACAGTTCAAAGACAGCCTGGGCAAATTGTTCATGAGACCTCATCTCGAAAAAAACCCATCAACACAAACAAAAGAGGGCTGGTGGAGTGGCTCAAGGTGTTTGAACCCCAAGTTCAAACCCCAGTACCGCAAAAAGCAAACAACCAAAAAACAAACCACAGACACTGGCATGGACATGGGGAAAAGAGAAAGCCTTATTCACTACTGGTGAGAATGTAAATTAGTGTAGCCACTAAGGAAATCAGTATGGAAGGTCCTAAAAAAAAATAGAACTTCCCTATCATCTGGCCATATAAAAATTAACTTATTATTTATAAATAATTTAATATAAATTATAAAATAAAATTTAAAAAAAGAAAATGACCATAAAGGTATCTAACAGTTTTTCCAGTAGGGCATATAGCTGGTCATGTCTTTATTTGATGAGAAAAATCACCTCTGTTGTGACTTACTGTATTGAAAAATCTTTCATAAACACTTTTGGAAAAATAATGAATGGAAAATGGGAATAATTATATTAGAAGTTATAAATCTGATAGGACAAAAATTGTTTTTTTGGTAGTTCTGGGGTTTGAACTCTACAGGAACTCTACAGCTTAAGCCACACCTTCAGTCCAATCATTCTTAATTGTTTTGGCAGCACTGGGATTTGAACTCAGGTCCTCATCAAAGTTGAGATCTCTTATTCAATCTTCATTTCTTTTGATTCTTACATGTCCACTACAATTTTTTTTCAAATGCCAAAAACCAAAAAGGAGGGTAGGGCTGCAGCTTGGTAGCAGAGTTCTTGCCAAGCATGTGCAACAAGCTGGGCTTAATCCACGGCACCTCCCCTCCCCAAACAAGCACATAAGGTGGAAGTCTGACGTCTGTGTTCCTCTGCTGGATGAGAGCCTCAGCACAGCTCCCTAGTGGCCAAGGCAGACGCCTCTCTTATTCTGCAGAGCTCCAAGCCCATTTGCTTAATGCCCACAGGCTTCACTCACACTTGCGCAACCATGACTGGCTTTGACTCTGCTTTAAAGTCGACCCACAAACCAGGGCATCCTCGAAGTAAAGTAGGAGCTGAGCAGCACACTGACTTAGAGAAAAAAATTTGTTACTCAAAATGTAACAGAATAAAATACATTTTATCATGTTGAGGGACTGCTTATTCCTTTCACGTGAAACCAAATTTTAGCACACGTACCTGTGGAACCATTGCAACCCTCTGGTTTCTTTTGGGAGACTTTGTATTTATTTGTCTATCATCTTCATCAGAAAAGAGTCGACTTCGCTTTGAATTTCTGAAAGGCTATGATAGAAATTTTTAATTGAATGAAAACTTCTCATTTTTGTTCCAAAATACAATTCTGTATTTGGAAAATGCAGCTACTCAGATTCTCAGCAGTATGGAAGAACTAAGTATAAGCAGTACAAAGCACACAAAGCGAAATATAAATAATCTTATATTCAGAAGGCATTAAAATACACACTTCTGCAATTTGTTTACAAATGAAACACCTAACTGATGATTAAACTAAACCAGAACTCAACATGTCTGTAGCACAACGGCAGCCATGGACAGTCAAGACAGGAGAGCACGTTCTGGAAATTCTAGTTCAAAGTGTGTTGCTAATATCACTTGGGTGTGTTTCATGATGACTGCTGCAGAGGGCTAGGCTGGGCTGGGCAAGGACATTAGATCACTCTAGAAGAGTAAGCCTAAATATATACAATATTACAGCAGAATCTGCTGTCGGAAATTGTTAACCAAATTTCCATTTGTAAGTAAAAATACAAGATAGGTATGATAGATACTTGGTAACTATCTTTAGCACTTAGAAACACAGAATACACTGAAGGATCTGTAATATGAAAAAAAATGTCTGTAGTCCATCTTAGGTTCAGAGGTTTCATGAATAGAGAAAAACAACCCAAGTAAAACTCACATCTTTTTCCAAAGGTCCTCCCACCACTCAAGACAGATCTTTCATGCCTATTTGGAAAGGAGACAGGTGCACAGGGACTATCAATATATGCGCAGCATGCAAGTGGGTCAAGACTAGATTCTGCACAGCACTGACAATTAAGTGCCTTCTGTTCCCTTCCCCGATTTGGGTAGAGAAGAGCAAGGGACTAATAGTGACAGAGCCAACAGAGAGCCTAAGTCCTTCATTCAGCCAGCGGTACAGGCTGTTCATTGTCCATGGCAGCTCCGGGCCTGTTTCATGATTGACCCTAAAACCTCCTGACTACCTGGCTGAGAGGGGAGAGAGAGGTCCTCTAATTGTTAGTCAAGCAATTACATGCTCATCTTGACTTCCTACTTCTAAATGCACTTATCCTTGATCTGTAAGATGTTAATACCTTGTCACTTATTTATGTTTTTTGCAGAGACCAGAGTCACATAAAACCTTTTGTATATCTAATAAAAGTACTTTGGAAAACTTGTATCATGCTATAAGAATTTACACACAACAATTATTCAAGTCGGCAACAATTATCTAAGTGTAAACTTAGTCCTTACCATTTCTACGGCAGGGCCTGCACTCCGGCCTTTCCACACGGGAGTTTTCTGTAAAGCACTGAATTTCTCATTCCACGTATTAGATAGGCTCCCCTCTGCAATGGACAGTTAACACTGATGATGTTTAATTCAAGGGACTTCACATTACAGACACTACCTCTTTAATAACAACACATCTGGATTATGTACCAAGTTAGAAAGAATATACAGATCATAATTTCAGTTCATTACAAATGAAAAAACCTCACCTATATTTTTATGTCCAGATCCCATAACAAATCAAAGCAACTTAAAAGTATTAAATTTCTACACTAAAACACAGAGCTTTTTTCTTTCTTTCTTTTTGGCTTTTACTAATTCTTCCGCTACAACTGCAAAGATCTCATAGCTTCTCATACAATTCTGACTGAAAGCAGGACATTGGAAAATGGAAAGGTCCCTTCTAATTTTGAATTTGCAGCACAGCTCTAATGTTTTTGTTTCCAGATGTGAAACTCTTGATACATGTAAATGAAACTAGTGTAGTGTTTCAGTTTTCCTTAATTCAAAGAATGCGTTTAGAGTTGTACTCAGTCAGGAAAAGCCCAATCAATTAATTGATTGATTGGACATGGTTTCATTTTTGTAAAAAGGCATGTTACTACAGAGAGAGATACAGAAGACTGGAACAGACAGACACAGGGTGATTGCTTTTATTCTGTCCTAGCTGCTTAGCAACATTCTCTAATTTTTCCTATGACAAAATTATACGAAGTATATAACTGTTTCTAAAAGAGAGAAACGGGGCTGATGGGTATAGCGTAATGGGAGCATGCTTACCTAGCACACCTAAGGCCCTGGGTTTGATCTCTAGCATAACTAACACACACACACACACAAAATAAATTTTTAAAAAGAAGGGGTTGGTAGAATGGCTCAAGTGACAACCTGCCTAGCAAGTGCAAAACCCTGAGTTCTACTCAGTAGAATCTTAAGAAATAAAATTTAGTGGGGTGCCAGTGGCTCACACTTGTAATCCTAGCTACCTGAGAGGCTGAGATCTGGAGGATTGAGATTTGAGGCCAGCCCAAGCAAACAGTTCGCAAAAACCCATCTCCAAAATAACCAGAGCAAAGGGGTTGGAGGTGTGGCTCAATGGCAACAGTACCTGCTTTGCAAGTGTAAAGTCTTGAGTTCAAACCCCAGTCCCACCAAAAAGTAAATAACAAAAGAAATAAAATAAACTATCTTAAAAGGGTTATTCTAATGTACTTATAAAAAAACACCAAGGAACATATTTAGGTTTTTTTCCTAGAAAAGCACTATTATTTTATTTTAGGCAACTCGCATTATTTCTTAGAAGACGAAATCCTTAAAAATAAATAACTATGCAAAAATATAGCTCAGCAAAGCTTTAACAAATACTTTAAATGAGATCTTTCCTGAATGTTCTGTTAAATTCTTTAGCAGGGCACTATAATCCCAGCTAGTAAGGAGGCAGAGACTAGGAGGATAGAGGTTGGAAGCCAGTTTGGGCAACAAAGTTCACAAGACTCCATCTTAACCAATCAAAAGCTAGATGTGGTGACTCATACCTATAATTCTAGCCATAAGAGGCGTAACTATGAGGATTGGTAGAGCACCTACCTGGCAAGTGCAAGGTTCTGAGTTCAAATGCCAGTACCACAAAAACATACTTAAATTATTAAAACTCTTTAATCAGTACTTTTAGGAATTCTTTTGGGAGGGAAGGGTACTGGGGTTTGAACTCAGGGCCCCATGCTTGGTAGGCAGACACTCTACCACTTAAGGCACTTTGTGTTGGGTATTTTGAAGACAGGGTCTCTCAAACCATCTGCCCAGGGCTGGCTTTGAAATGCCATTCTCCTGATCTCTGTCTCCAAAGTAGCTAGGATTACAGGTGTGAGCACTGGTGAGCGTCCAGCTTAGGATCTTGCTGTGCTTTTCTTTTCAAGACAGGCTCTTGCTGTGCAACCCAAGCTAGTCTCAAACTCAATATCCTCCTGCCTTAGTCTCCTGAGTGCTGGGATTGTCAGTATGCACCATGATACCAGACTAGAAAAAAATGTCCTTAATTTCTAACAACTGCAGATCAATTCTCCTTTAAAAATATAAGAATTTAAAATTATCAATGAAAATAAATACTTAAAAGCCATGAGTCATAACTTAAAAGGAAAAGAGAAACAAGATATCCAAATTTTTTTAATGAATTAAATTTCTAGCTTATGATATACCTAAAAATGGAGTAATTCTGCCAGGCTAGTGGTTGGTTAACACCTGTAATCCTAGCTACTCAGGAGGCAGAGATCAAGAGGATCGAGGTTCAAGGCAAATCCCAAATAGTTCCTGAGACCCTATCTGGAAAAAACCCATCACAAAAAAGGAGCTGGTGGAGTAGTTCAAGGTGTGGACCCTGAGTTCAAACCCCAGTATCCCCCAAAACAACAACAACAAAAAAAAAATGGTACAATTCTTACCTTTTAAGCTGACAAGGGCTTTTGCTGAGGAGCCTGTAATGAAAAATAAAACAAATCAATAATTACTTCATAATCAAAGTGAGAAGAAAAAAACCCTTGATTTAGTGGTAAAGATGATCCATTTAGTTTGAGCAACATTGAAATGATGGTTGCATATTCAACTAGAAATAATAGGAATTTAAACTACAGCCCTCAGATAGGGTAAGGTAGAACTGGGCAGAGACGTTGGGACTGTTGTGAGAACTGGAAGCCATGCAAGAAAGGAAAATGTAGAAAGAGAGAGAAAATGAGATAAAGACAGATTTTTTTTTTTTTTTTTGTGGTACTGGGGTTTGAACTCAGGGTCTGTACCTTGAGCCAATGATGGGTTTTTTTCGAGATAAGAGTCTCTTGAGCTATTTGCCCAGCCTGGCTTTGAACCTCGATCCTCCTGATCTCTGTCTCCTGAGTAGCTAGGATTACAGGTGAGCAAGAGTGCCTTTAAGTGAGGATCAAAAATTACTTCTGAGCCTGTAAGTGCCTTGAAAGTCTAGAACACAGGTCTGCACATCACTGAAGATCCATGCTGGAAGCACAGCCAAGCAGGGCGAGCAGAAATGGAGGAACCTGAGTGCATACTAGAGTAATAGGAAGCTCTCCCTGCATGCAGAATCGCTGTATTAATAAAGATCTTCGGGAAGCGAGGGGGTAAAGGGGGAGAGGGAGGGGGTGGGGTGGTTAAGGGAGGGGGCGGGGGGGGGAGGGGAGAGAAATGACCCAAACATTGTATGTATATACGAATAAAATTTAATTAAAAAAAAAAAAGATCTTTGGGGAGCTGTGGCAATAACCCTCTTTGAGAAACACTGGGCTACGGGTTCTGTAGTGAAGAGAGGATAGGCTCTGTGGGAGAGGAGAGTAAGAGAATCAACAGGCTTTTGACGATTAATGCCTAAACACAGTAAGTCATGGTTGAGGGTGGGAGGGAGAAAATGCTTTAAAATCTACTAGAAAGCTTCAGACAACACAACTGCGAAGCAGCGAAGTAAACAGTGCACAAATTCATGTAGCTGTCAAAGAGAAACGCAGTCCGTCTGAGGAAAATGCAATAACCATCCATTCATTCATTCAGTGAGTCTAATGGTGCTGACCACAAGCCAGTTCCTGCTCCAGCGAGCCAGGAGCAAAACAGCCAAAGTCCCTGTTCTCCTGGAGCTGGGGAGACACACACAAATGCAGCCAGGTGGGATGAGCACTATGGAACATGACTGTGGGAGCGAGGGTTCATGATTAGCTTCTCTGGAAGGAGATATTTGAGCAGAGATCTGAAGGTAGAGGATAAACCACACAGGCACCCGTTCCTGTTCCATGTGCCATGAACCACATCTTGGGGACTGTGACCTCAACCTTTCTTTCCTGTTGAGAGGCAATACAGCTTCCTTCCACATGTGAATATGTATTTATTTTTTTTGGTGGGAATGGGGTTTGAACTCAGGGCTCTGCACTTGCAAAGCAGGCTCTTTACCACTTGAGCCATGCCTCCAGTCCACTCTGCTCTGTTTATTTTGGAGATGGGGTCATGCAAACTTTCCTCGGGCTGGCCTCAAACCTCAATCCTCCAGATCTCAGCCTCTCAAGTAGCTAGAATTACAGGTGTGAGCCACTGGCACCCAGTCAAGTGCTAGATTAAGGCTGGCTGTATTTGAACCTGGCTCTGCCAATTTCTTGTTATGTTATCTTCTGCAAGCTACTTAGCCTCTCTGTGCTGTTTCTTCATTTGTAAAATGGGAAGTAAATGAGTTAACATAAAAGTACTTAGAACAAAGTACACCATACATAATTTTCATACAGAGCTTACTGTTAGTATTATATTGATTAATCAAAAAGCCTATACAGTTAAGAACATGAATTTTACAGGCAGGTGAATACATTAAGCTAGAATCCTGCTCTAACCACGTCTGTTCACTCATCATTCAATCAGAATCCACTGAACACTTGCCATGAGCACTGTTTTAGGAGCTGAGTTTACCCAATGAACAAGCCAGGCAAAGCCTCTACTCTCAGGAACTTGTGTTCTAGTAGAAAAAGACACACAATAAACAAGTACACAAAATAATAATTACGGTTTGTGGCAATTGCTATAAAGGAAGAGTTACTTTACATAAGATAGTGAGGGAAGGCTTTTCCTAATGTTTGAAAAGAATAAGCCACGAAGCCAGGTATGGTGGCACATGTCTGTAATCCAAGTACTAGAGAGGCAGAGGGGCAGGAGAATCAAATTCTAGGCCAGCCTGGGCTATACAGTGAGACCCTGAGTCAAAAACAAAACAAACTAAAAAACCAACTAGCCATGAAAGCAGGAGGTCACAGCATGTAGTATGGGCAGAAGAAAGTCCTGAGAAGTATTAGAATACTCAAGAAAAAGGTCACGGTGCTTGTGGAGTGGAACAGGAGAGTAGTGAGGGAAAACATCGTAAGTAAGCAGGGGTTGTGCATGGACTTGGGGAGTCAGGCATGGAGATAATCAGAAATGGACCAGGTAGTCACATAAACAAACAAAAAACCAACTGAGAAAGAGGCTCTAAGACATTACTCGGTGGTACTGAAAGACTGAAAGATTGCATAATCTAGTAGGAAGGACAAAAAACAACCCTTTGCAAGGCTTAAAAGCGATCTAAAGGATAGGCAGAGGTTAACTGAAGGGAGGAAAGAGGAGAGCTCCCTAGTTAGAGTACAGCATGTGCAAAGGCCCCAAGAAAAGGAAGCCTGGTGGTGTAAAGATGAAGAGGCAGAATGAGAGGAGAGGTACGAAATGAAGCTGGAAGCCTAGCGCTCATACCAGCAATCCTAGCGACTCTGAAGGCTGAGATCAGGAAGATCAAGGCTCAAAGCTAGCCTGGGTAAATAGTTCTCAAAATTACCCAACACAGAAAAGAGCTGGCAGAGTGACTCAAGTGGTAGAGCGCCTACCTAGCAAGTTCAAACCCCAGCACTGCCAAGAAGCAGCAGCAGAAGAAAAGAACCTGGAGAGGAGGGGAGCAGACCACCTATAGCTACTAAAAGGTTTTAAACAGGAAGACAACCTTGTATACTTTGAAAGGGTCCTCCTGGCCTGCTATGCGGGTAGGGAATGGATCAATGGGAGTCTGAAGTGTAGAGATAGTGAAAACTTGGGCTGGGTGATGGTAAGAAGTAGGTAAAATTGAGAGATTTATAGAAGACAGAAGTCCCAAGATTTAGTAAAGACTTAAACATGAGAAGTATCAAGAGGGCTGTGCCAAAGGTAATCTCTAGCTTCTGCTTTGCCAGCTGAACGCATTTGTTAAAACAGGAAACACTGGAAGTGTGGGTGGGAAGGGGTGGAATTACAAAGTGGATGTTGAACCTGTGAAGTGTGAAGAGCCTCTGGAGCATCTAAGAGGAGATATGAAATAGTGAAGCCACTTCAAGAATGGGCTCAAAGGAAAGATCTGAGCTAGAGATAGTCTCACTCATGTACAAAATCGAGTGCTTACAAGATTAAATGAGCAAATGTATATGTCATGCTTTGGGCGGCACGTGGTTCATGGTAAGCATTCATACATGACAGCTTTTACTACTGATCACGTTACTGTGGCCGATAGCTAACTTCCTTGACTAAACTTAACAAAACTCATACTTGCTATTTCTGGTATCAAATTAAAATCACTTCCTTTTCATGATCCTGCTCTCCATTCTAATTAATAGTGCCTACTCCTCTACACTCAATTCCAAGTAAGTCAGGTATGTATCTACTTGAGCTGTGGCACTGTGGAACAAACCCCGCTTTCAACGAAGCCGCATGTTGCCAGACAAGACTACACAAGCACAACCCTCCGAACCAGAGGTGACACAAGCACAACCCTAAGTCCCAGAGGTGACAGAAATGACTGGCTTGTACAGTCCGCGGGCGCAGTTGGAATTTGGACCTCGGTATGAATCCCAAGGCTCTACTTTTTCAGGTGACAAGCACTTTGTGCTAGCACCATCAACTAAACAAACCCTAAAACCCACAGATGGTCTACGCTGTGCCCTATCCAAAACAGTAGCCACAAGCTACGTAAATTTAAGTTAAGAAGAAATAAAACCTAAAATTCAGTTCCTCATTCATTCTAGCTAGCCCCGTCCGAAGTGCCCCATAGCCACATATGGCTAGTGGCTTGGCTATGGGGCATAATGGCTGGCCATACAGAAGCAAACATTGCCACCACGTCGCCAAGTTCTTTTGGGACTCGGCGCTGGTCCGTATCAAATTTAAAACACTTTGCATACAACTTTTAACCAGCTTGGCACCTTGATCGTTGGACTGCATGCTAACAACACAGGGCATCACAAGAACACAGCACTGGCAGTGTCGGCGGCTCTCATCACAACAGGGTCTCCTGGCCTTGTGCACAGACACGCCTAACAGCGACGGGCCTGTCGGCGAGACACGAAAACTCTGGCCAAGTGACACAAGCACACGGACTCCACGGCGGCAGGACCGCCGCGCGAGCCATGCCCCGCTGGCACCGCAGGCTGAGCCCGGGTCCCGCCGAGCGCGCACCGGGGCATCCCGACCCGGGGGTCACGCGGGTCACGCCCGCCCGTGTGCCCGGACGCATCCCGGCTGGGTCGCCTCCGCCCAGGTCCGCGGCCACCTGTGGTCCGCGGCAGGGGCGGGGGAAGGGGCCAGCCTGCGACGCGCCGGAAAGGCTTGCGGGGCGCCCGCACCGCGGCTGTCCCAGGACGGGACGCAGGCCGGCGGGAAGAGGGGCCGCGGCCGCCGCGCCAGCCGAGCCGAGCCGAGCCGAACCCCCCCGGCCGGCAGCTTACGTAACCCAACGCGGGGACGGCGCGGGGCCGCCCTCGCCCATCTCCGCCCGGGCCGCGGCCACCGCCTTCTCCGGGACGGGCCGGACCCCGGGCTTTCGGCTTTCGGCTTCCGGCCCCGGCGCTCGCACAGCCGGAGAAACGGACACGGACACCATAACAAAGGCGGCGACGCGGCGGCGGCCCCAGCGCGGGGGGGGGAGGACCGGCCCGCGGGGCCTGGCAGCCTGCCCGCCTTCCCCAGGGAGGGACGCGACCGCTTGTGCGGGCCAGAGCGGCCGCGGGCCCGGCGGACGACAGGGACAGGGGCACCCGGGCGCTACTTACTCTCGTCAGGCAACTGGTCGAGCTCCGCCATCTTGAACGAGCCGCGCCGCTTTTTCAAAGGCTGCCCGCCGCGGTGCATTGTGGGGCGGAGGCCGCCTGCGAGGGAGGTTCGAATGCGGAGCCGCAGCCCGCGCCGCTGCCGCCAGCCCCGCCCCGCTCCTCGCTGGCCCCGCCCCGCAGGCCCCGCCCACCCCGCGCGGGCCGCGGCGCGCGCAGCCGCTGCGGGATGTGCGAGCTGGGTGACGGGAGAGGGCGGCGCGGGGAGGAAGCCCGCGGGTCCCGGCGCGTTGCGATGGGCTCGGCCGAAGCGGAGAACTCACGTCTGCAAGCCGCGTTTCCCCGGCACCCCGCGAGCGGGGCCAGCTTCGGTGCCGCGCCTGTCGCGGGCGGGGCAGACCCGAGGGGTCATCAGGTTGATCCTCGCGGCCTGGGCGCTCCGTGCATCCACACCTGACCGAGCGGGGAGTCACAGGAGCTTCGTGGGGACGCAGACCAAACCGACAGCGACGCTGCAGGCCTGGGTGCCCGCATCCGAGTGCAGAGGCGACACTGGATAAAAATCCATCCTATGGGGAAAGAAGCTCGGGGAGAGATTTCAGTCCCCGTCTGTAACGCTCTCCAGGAATAAACCACTGGTGCTTTTTTCTTTTCTTACCTTTTTTTAAACTCACTGTGCAGCCCAGGTGGGCCCTGGACCCTAAGTCCTCCTGCCTCAGCCTTCTGAGTTTTGGGATACAGGCGTGAGTCACCGTGCGTAGCTCCACTGTTGCTTTTCAAGTATGAATTTAACAAATGTCATTGAGTCTGAGGACCAGCCAGGCAGAGGACAGCAGAGATGGCTGCAGCACCGCTGGCTGCAGGCAGCCCGGGAACATCTGGCCTGTGTCCTGCACAAGATTCTGGCTGCTAGCTGTGTAGTCTCCAGCAAGTTTGTTTCTTGACTTAATTCTTTGCACCTTGGTTTCTCCTCTGTAAAATACAAGTAATTGCGGAGTTGTTTTGAGGATGAATGACTTCAGAGACCTTACAATGACTCTTAGTACATAGCAGTCAGCGGCCACTACCACCACCATGGGGCAGACACTCCACATCTCGGGAGGCGTGGGAGCCCGCCAGGGTGTGAGGAGGAGGCTGCATTGCTGAAGATGCCAGCTCGTGCCTTGGGTGAAGGTGCCACCATGCTGAGGCAGGAGGGCTCCAGCATGACCCCTCCTTAGTGAGCATACCCTGCCTGTGCTGCCTACCAGCACTCCACCAGTCAGTCCTCTTCCTGTCCACCATCCCTGCGTTCAGCACCTGGGTAGCAAAAGAGCTTGCTCACCCCCTCAACTTGGACTTGAGCTACCTGGAAAGGCACTCCTCTGAGGATGAAAAAACAAGCCTGAAGGAGGTCGCAGTGGGAGAGGAGCAGGAGTTTTGAGAGGATTGTGCCGGCCAGGGCATCTTTAAGACCAAGGCAAACCAGCTTTTACTCTGAGGCAGTTCTCATGCAGACAGCAGGGCTGCTGTTTAAGTCAGTATTTCAGGCCCTTCCCCCAGCAATCTGCGTGATTCTCCCAGTGGTCTGGAGTCTGAAGCTGTGTCCTAGGCCACTTACTTTGGTGCCAAAGCCAAGGTTCTTACTTTCAGTAAGGCTCGTTAGTGAGTGTTTATGAGAGGCGTCACAATCATTGGCTTACTCGATTCTCCCAATAACATAGCCATTTCTCCAAGGACAATGGTGACCAGGTGGCAGACTCAGGAATCCTGCCTAATCTTGTGCCTCAGTTTCTCCCTCATGATGTGAAGACAACATGAGTCTTAGTCCGTTTGTACTGCTTCAACAAAATTCCTTGTGACTGGGCAATTTAGAAACAGCAGATTTAGTTCTCATGGTTCTGATGTGCCTGTGTTGGCATCTGGCAAGGGCTGCCCTTGGCTTCTAAGGTGGAGTCTCGTTTCTGCTCAGAGAGTGAGCACGTTGTCTTCACGGGCAGAGGGCAGCAGAACGCTCCCTCAACCTTCAGCTCTTTTGTATGAGTGCTAAGCCCGTCCATGGGGCAGAGCTCTCAAGACCTGATCCCCTCCACAGGCCACACCTTTTTTTTTTTTGGTGGGACTGGGGTTTGACCTCAGCTTCATGCTTGCAAAACAGGCACTCTACCACTTGAGCCACACATCCAGTCAATTTTGCACTGGGAATTTTTTTTTTTTTTGTGGTACTGGGGTTTGAATTCAGGGCCTACACCTTGAGGCACTCCACTAGCCCTTTTTTGTGATGGGTTTTTCTCGAGACAGAGTCTCCCAAACTATTTTGTGCAGGCTGTCTTTCAATTGCAATCCTCCTGATTTCTGCCTCCTCAGTAGCTAGGATTAGGATTAAAGGTGTGAGCTCTGGTTATTTTGGAGATAGGGTCTTTTGAACTATTTGCCCAGGCTGGTCTCAAGTAGCAATCATCCCAATCTTAGCCTCCCAAGAAGCTAGGATTACAGTTGTGAGCGCTCAGCTGAGTTGCATGTTTTAAATACATGCAGTTTGTTATAGGTAAATTACACCTCAACAAAATTAATTTTGGAAAGGAGAATCGAACCCAGGGCCTCACACATGCTAACCATGTCTTGAGAGCTATTTGCCTGAGCTGGCACAATCATCCAGATCTCAGCCTCCTGAGTAGCTAGGATTACAGGCATGTACCACTGTCAAAGTGGGGATGAAATTTCACTTGAGTTTTGGAGGAGACACCATCATTCCAACTAGAGCATGTGAACTTTCCCAATTTATAGCATAGATGTTCTCCAGTTGTGTGTTCCTAACTGAAATGATGTAATTGTCTAAATGATCTTGTTGGCTTAAAAAAAAACCTAAAATTTGGATAAAGATACTAACTCATAAAAAAAAATAAAAACAACCCAGACGGGGCTGGGGAAGTGGCTCAGTGGTAGAGCATGTGCCTAGTATTGTCAGAGACTCTGGGTTCAGTCTCAGTGCCTCAGAAACAAACATAAAACAAAAAGCACTAGATAAAAATCAACCATAAAAAAAATCACAGGCTGGGTGAATGCTTGTAATCCTAGTTACTCAGGTTGAAGGCAGGAAGATTGAGGATCAAGGTCAGCCCAGGCAAAAAGTTAGTAAGACCCCCACCTTGATCAGTGAACTGGGCATGGTGAGGCAGCTCTGTGATCCCAGCTATGCTGGGGACGGAAGTAGGAAGTAATAGGGTCCTGGTCTGAGACCCTACCTAAAAAGTAACTAAAACAAAAAAGGGCCAGGGCTCAAAAGGTACTGCACCTATTAGCAAGCATCAAAAAAAAAGTAATGATGGCCGGGCACTGGTGGCTCATGCCTGTAATCCTCGCTACTCAGGAGGCAGAGATCAGGAGGATCGCAGTTCAAAGCCAACTGTGGGCAAATAGTTTGTGAGACCCTATCTCGAAAAACCTTCCACAAAAATAGGGTTGGTGGAGTGGCTCAAGGTGAAAACCCTGAGTTCAAATCCCAGTACCACAAAATAAAGTAGTAACAATTAAGCAGGGCTCAGGGCAGAGCATGAGCAAGGCCTACAGTTCAGTCCTCAATGTGGAAAAAATGGGCAAGAAACCCCATCTGAATAGACAGTGAGCTCATGGAGGGTGCAGAAGGTCCTTGTCACCTAGGAGATAAAAGCAAATCACACCAAGATAGCAAGCCTCACCCAGAGAGTTACAAAAAACAGATAGTGACAAGTGTTGGCAAGGATTCGGGGAATTTGGAGGCCTCCTGTGCTGTTGGAGGGCAAGGTGTGCAGCTGCTGTGGAAACAGTGTGGTTGTTCTCAGAAAATTGCACACAGGGATGCAGTACGATCCAGAATTCCATATCTGCAGTATGCCCCAAAGAACTGAAAGCAAGGGCTGCACAAACATACTTATTTGTTTATTAAGAGCAGCATTGTGGTGGGAGGGGCGCTGGGAGTTGAACTCAGAGCCTCAGCTAGGCAGGCACTCTACTACTTGAGCTACTCCACCAGCCCTGTTTTGTTTTGTGTTGGGCATTTTCAAGGTCAGGTCTCCTGAACTGTGTGACCAGGCTAGCCTCACGCTGCAATTCCCCTGATCTCAGCCTCCCCAGTAGCTAGGATTAGACCCATGAGCCACCAGCATCCAGCTTAATATATTTTATATATAAAGTGTTTGTAACTTTTCTACAGTAAAAATTTGTATCATTTTAATCATAATAGCCATTGAAAAAGTAGTGTATCTATGCCATGGAATACTGATAAAACGATAACACGGATGAATCTTGAAAACATGCAAGTGAAAGAGGCCAATTTTAGAAAACCACACATTGTGGGATTCCATTTACGGGAAATGTCCAGGATAGGCAAATCAAGACAGAAAGAGGATTAGAAGTTGCCAGGGCCTGTGGGTTTGGGAAATGGAGAGGGAGGTGCACAGGGTTTCCTTGTGGGGTGGTCGGAGTTTCTAAGGTTCATTGTGGAGATGGGTGCCACAGCTCAGTACATGTGCTAAGACCATTGACGTGGAAATTTTAAATAGGCGAATTTTGTGTGGTATGTGAATTAAATCATCCTAAAGCTGTGGGGAGAAAATCTCATTTTCAAACTGTCAGTCAGTTTTCACCACTGTAACAAATAGCTGAGGCATCAACTTACCAAGAGAAAAGGCTTATTTGCTTCAGTTTGCGGGTTCTAGTCCATGACTGCTTGGTCCCGTGGTGAGGCAGCACATCGAGGTGGAGCAAAAGCATTCACTTCATGGCTGGGCAGGAAAAGAGAACAAGGAGCAGCCAGGGTCCCACAACCCCCCCATAACCTGAAGGCCTCCCACTAGGCCCCACCTCTTAAAGGTTCCACCACCTCCCTACAGCGTCACCCTGAGGACCAGGTCTTTAAGTGCCCTTGGGAGGGGCACTGTTGACCCAAACCTCAGCACAGACCTTAAGGTTGGTCTCAATCTAGAATCTTGGCTAGTCAGCTTGTCCCAGATCCCTTTCTAAGCCAATTCATGAAATGGCAGAGAGGGCTCTGCTGTGCAATGGACGTGATAGGTGCAGACAAAAGCCCGACATTGAACTTGTCTGCCCCCACTCTCTCTTCTGCCAACATCCTACTCACTAGCCTGCAAACCAGGCTAGAAAAAGAAGCTGCTTTTCCTGTTGGGCCCAAGTGGCTGCAAGAAGAGGAAAACTGAAATCCTAACAGACTCCGTTTCTCTAGTATGAC